TTATTTTGTTTAGGAGGATAAGCCTGCTGCAGCTAAACCACCCGAGAAACCTAAAGAAGGAGAGAAGAAGGAGGGTGAGAAAGAAGGCGAAAAGAAAGACGAGAAGAAGGAAGGTGAGAAGAAAGAGGAAGAAAAGAAAGAGGGAGAGAAGAAGGAAGAGGGATCGAAGCCTGACGAAAAGAAGGAGGAGAAGAAAGAGGGAGAAGAGAAAAAAGAAGGAGAGAAGAAAGAGGGAGAAGAAAAGGAGGTTAGTCTGCTATCAAAGCTGTTATTACGCGATGTACTGCCTGAGTGGAATGAATCCTCTGACGAAAATTTTCCTTTGCCCAAATTTCCTAAACAAACGCTAATTGAGTTTTTCAGCTCAAATTGGATCCCACTATGGCATCCGCTGATGATGAGGTGCGATTTTGAATACTGAGCATAATTTCATGTTGAATCAGTGGCTTTCAGAAGAAAAAATCAAAGCAGGATCCAGTGGCTCTTTCAAGGTCTTCTAGGGGGAAGCCTGATGGTAAAAACATCTGTAAAATCTCAAAATCCCAATAAATCTCTTTACAGAAAAAATCAAACTGAGCGCGAGTAGTCTAGCATGGGAGGATGCAGAGTCACAGCAGGTGGCAATAATCAACTTTTTTGCTCTGATAATTGCAACGTGAACTTCAAGGTTCTAAAAGTGACAAACGAAAACGATAAGAAGCAAGCGCTCAAGATCAAATGTTCCAACAATACTTTATTCAAGTAACAGAATCAAAGCGCTACCGTTTTGCGCAATTACTTCTGAAATCTCTTTTCAGAGTGAATCCAGTATTCGCAATGATCGATGCAGGAAAAGATCTTGAGATTGTTGTGACTCGCAAAGCCGGTGAACTAAAAGCCGAGAAACTGCTGATACTAACAACTCCGGTATGCTAAGCATGTTCCGCTTCTCTGTTTAATGAAAAAATTTCAGTTCGACGGTACCGAAGCGGAGAAGGCATATGAAGATAAGGAGCTCGTACCTGCGTGTGCGACCGTTCCAATGGTCCCAAAGTAGTTGAATAAAGTTTTTGTGCATGTCAGATTCAATGACAACGAGAAAACACAATCTCCAACCATTTATAACAGGCACAAAGGAAACATTAACAACGCCCTTATTATTTACAAAACAACAAAGGAAAACATCCGCACATATATAAAAAGTCCTCTTTGCACTCTCGGTCGTGAAGAAACAACAACAAAACCTTTACCACTTATTATCATTCAACCGCAAGCACAACTCTCGTTCTTTCCAAGCCGGATCAACGATGCAGGCTGACCATCTGCAAGGATAAGCGGTTATTTGTAAGTATGCGAAATTTTGCAACAGAAAAACAAAAAAAAGGTTGTTGAAGATATCTGGACTAGACTGAGCCCAAAGATTTTAGGTTGGCATGAAAGTTCTCAAACATTTTCAAACAAAATCTGCTATTTCTCGAAACCTAATCCATGTACACACGAAAGAGATACCATTGGATAGAGCTATGCAAGCTCTACAAATGGCTTGCTGCTTTGGCACCAAGTTTGATTCAAGTAAAGTTCGAAGGCGAGATAAAGAAAGTTTCAAAAACCGAAAAATCAAAAAAGTTTTTACGGACCCCAAACCTGCTCATGGGCATACATCCCTCATAAACATTTATATGCGCAGTTGCCAAT